CACCCACAGTCCCCCCTTCCCGAGAACTGGGCCACCTTTCAGGGGTGTTTCCCGGCCCCCCCCGTTTAAACAACAGGGGAACCAACATCCAAAAAACTGTGGACAACATCCTCTAGACATATGTGTTTTTTTCAGCTGTTAAAGACACTCTCTAAAATGAGCATACCATTATCAACACTTGTATTATTACTTTTTTTACTCTTTCCATGACATTTTCAAATAGTAATTGGCTTCTATGATGCTTCTATAGAGTCTAAACATATATTTTTAGGAACATGATTGGAAGCTCTCTTTCTCTCTCATTGTTTATCTGGTAGTCTAGTAATTATTGTGTTGATGGTTGGATACAGTGAGAAGGAGGAGAGGAGATAGGAGGAGATGAGATGGGAGGACAGGAGATAGGAGGAGAGGAGATAGGAGGAGAGGAGATGGGAGGAGAGGAGATAAGATGAGATGAGAGGAGATAGGAGGAGAGTAATCTAGGAAAGACTTATTGAGATAGAGCCTTAGTGTCAGAGAGACATAGAGGAGGAAGAAGAACATTAAGAGAATGAGGAAGAGAGAAACAATAAGACAAATAATAGTTGTGTTTAGATTTAGAGGAGAGGATGTAGACGTACTGTACTCTGGAAAATGACTCTTCATTATTTTATTACAAACATGTCATGTGATTTGCCATAGGTTGAGGCTAAGTAAAAACTTTTTTTTTTTTTTAATGATGCTAATGAAAGCCGTGACTCACAACCTTCACTGTACAAGGGACAACGTGTAGTTGACCAATGGTAACACACTGCACCATGCACCAGTGGAGCTGGCTGCTACACACCCACTCACTCATGCATGATGTCTATCTACTGTTGTGTCTCTTCCTGGAGGTTGCTGTCTGATCAAACCACTGGTTAAGGTGTGAAGTCCTCCCTAAATCTATAACACTGTACGTTCTCAGACACAGACTGTTAAATTAAAGCAGATGTTTAAGAGGATATACCACAGAATATACTTTCCGTTGTATTGTGTGCAGCTCCTTAAAGTACCAAAGTATATTTTAAGGGGGCAATTAGAATTAGCCTTTATATGGAGCAGTCTGAGGAGATTTATGCTAATGTTGACAGGAAGAGCTGTGGACAGGATACAGTGAACAGAAGCATAGATAAACAACCTGAATCTCAGAATACTGGTAAGTACACTGTTGTCATAGAGACACACACATCGAAGAGTAAACCAATAGTTATTATTCTTCCAATTGCCACACAAACAATTTAGCTTATGTTAATGTGATGATATTGGCTGATGCCCAATGCCCCAAGGCTTCAAAAGCCAACTGAGTAAAATAAACTGTAACGAACTACATCTCCTAAATGAAAACACTACATCTCCTAAATGAAAGGTCGCTCCTTTAAGATTAGAGGTTAAATGTTCTGAAATGTTCGAGGCTCTGTAGGATGTATACTAACTGCAGAAACATTCATTTTCATGTTCATAAAGTCCTATGTAACTCGCCACTGTGTATTTCCAACCTGGTCTCAAAGCATTTCGTTTTATTCTGTACGTAAAGCAAGACACTCCATTTAGTATGATATGTTACCTTTCATATGTTACCTTTTATATGTCAATGTGTGGATGCCCATCATCCATTTGGTTAGATATGTTACGAATTACAATTTGTATGATATGTTACGAATTTGCTAAACTTACAATATGTTATGAATTTGCTAAACGTGTGATATGTTATGAATTCTACTAACATTAGCTATCTGGCTAACATTAGCAAGGCTAGGGGTTAACTGTAACTGGCCACTATATTTCCTGTTGCAGTGAGAAGCTGTATCTTTAACAACCACAAGTCCCCCTCAACAAAAAGAGAGATGGGGGTGAGAAACCACCACTTTAAATGTGCAGCTATTTTTCCACCTTTTAGAGATCATCAAAATAGATTCTTCATACTTTTGAGATCATATGGGGGCGAATCCTATCTTCCACTTAAGTCAATTTAGCTTAGTCATTCATTTATATCAATGGGAGACTAAGTTGATTTTGAATTAAAGGGGATCCTTCAGGATTTTCGTATGACGTGTGCGTCTAAAAATATTGTACGACCATTTTGTGGCAGAATTCTCAATGAATAAAGGCCTGACTATGCAGACTGGGACTATGTCCGTTTCTTGATCCAAAAGCATTACAACCTTTTGGGAAACGCACAGAGACACTGAAAATGTTAGTTAAATAATTCTCATAACAATATGTGAGAAAGTGGGTTAACTCACCATGCAACTCTGTAACCATACAACAACACAGCATCATACAGTGCAAACACACACACTTACCCTTCTCTCTCTCTCTCTCTCCTCTCTCTCTCTCTCTCTCTCTCTCTCTCTCTCTCTCTCTCTTCTCTTCTGCTCTCCTCTCTCGTCTTTCTCTTCATCTCTCTCTCTATCAACCCACATACAGCCATCATGCACACAAACGTAGTATTATTTTTAGTATCATTGAATTAAGTCCTAACTTATTTCCTGTTTGTAGTTTCCTGTGTACCAGTAGTTATGTTTTACACATCATCAGAGTCAACCTGAATTTAGTTCATTGGTGAAAGGCCCAGAGCAGAAACAGGCCACAGAGACAGACACAGGGGGTAACGTTAGGACCAGAAACTGAGAATAGACTGAAAACACAAACAGTTGTTGGAGATGTCTGAGGCCATCTATGCTGAGCCAGATATGAACAACAAGGTCAAGTTTGACAGAGGTGAGATGGAGGAGAGGATTGTGGATATCTACATCAGTGCAGACACCCTGAGAGACGGTGAGACCAGCACCAAGAGAGAAGAGACAGCAGACACTGCTCCTAATAATGGACCAGGAGACCAGTACTTAGGTAACACACATTTACATTACATTTACATTTTAGTCATTTAGCAGACGCTCTTATCCAGAGCGACTTACAGTTAGTGAATACGTTTTTTGTTGTTTTGTTTTTGTTTAAAAAAGGTTTTTTATTATATATATATATATTATTATTTTTATACTGGCCCCCCGTGGGAATCGAACCCACAACCCTGGCGTTGCAAACGCCATGCTCTATCAACTGAGCTACATCCCTGCCGGCCATTCCCTCCCCTACCCTGGACCAATTGTGCGCCGCCCATGAGTCTCCCGGTCGCGGCTGGCTGCGACAGAACCTGGATTCGAACCAGGATCTAGTGGCACAGTTAGCACTGCGATGCAGTGCCTTAGACCACTGCGCCACTCAGGACACACACACACAACCCTATTAGAGGAGAAAGTCCAAGGTCCCTCCCTTAGGAAATTATTCTCCAATGTGTTTTGAGAAGGGTGTGGGGGGGGGAGAGAGGATGCGAGGAGGATTGGAGGAAGGATGAATTGAGAAAGAGCCCGTATGCAAGTCTGTAAAACCACTATTTCCACTCTATGGTGAGTTAATCTCTCACTTCAACCACTAGGAGGAATCATCACTTAACCATTCAACACTGTATCCAACCATCAACATGAGAGAGAGAGAGAGAGGAGAGAGGAGGGAGAGGGAGAGAGGGAGATGAGAGAGAGGAGAGGGAGGGAGAGATGGACGAGGAGGGAGGGAGAGAGAGAGAGGGGAGAGAGAGAGGTGAGAGAGATCTGAGGAGAGAGAGAGAGGAGAGGGGATGGAGAGAGAGAGGAGGAGAGAGAGAGGAGAGAGGAGAGAGAGAGTTACTGTGGGGTTATTGTAACACCAATTTCTCACAGATCCAGTTATGATTTGTGCAACATTTGTCATCATTCCATGTCTTTACAGAGTCATCTTGTCTATAGTATATCTCACCACAGTCCTCCTGCCCAGAGAACTGACCACCATTATCAGGCTGTCCTGCCCCCCAGTACCTAAACACAGAGAACCAGACAGTCAGGACCACTGTGGTACAAACATCCTTATAGACATATGTTTTTTTCAACTGTAAAGACACACATAATTCCTCTCTAAGATGAGCATACCATTATCAACACTTGTATTATTAATTTCTTTACTCTTTCCATGACATTTTCAAATAGTAATTGGCTTCTATGATGCTTCTATAGAGTCTAAACATATATTTTTAGGAACATGATTGGAAGCTCTCTTTCTCTCTCGTTGTTTATCTGGTAGTCTAGTAATTATTATGTTGATGGTTGGATACAGTGAGAAGGAGGAGAGGAGATAGGAGGAGAGGAGATAGGAGGAGAGGAGATGGGAGGAGAGGAGATAGGAGGAGAGGAGATAGGAGGAGAGGAGATGGGAGGAGAGGAGATAAGATGAGAGGAGATAGGAGGAGAGGAGATAGGAGGAGAGGAGATGGGAGGAGAGGAGATAAGATGAGAGGAGATAGGAGGAGAGGAGATAAGATGAGAGGAGATAGGAGGAGAGGAGATAGGAGAGGAATCTAGGAAAGACTAATTGAGATAGAGCCTTAGTGTCAGAGAGACATAGAGGAGGAAGAAGAACATTAAGAGAATGAGGAAGAGAGAAAAAATAAGACAAATAATAGTTGTGTTTAGATTTAGAGGAGAGTATGTAGACATACTGTACTCTGGAAAATGACTCTTCATTATTTTATTAGAAACATGTCATGTGATTTGACATAGGTTGAGGCTAAGTAAAAATTAATTTAAAAAAACGATGCTAATGAAAGCCGTGACTCACAACCTTCACTGTACAAGGGACAACGTGTAGTTGACCAATGGTAACACACTGCACCATGCACCAGTGGACCTGGCTGCTACATACCCACTCACTCATGCTTGGTGTCTATCTACTGTTGTGTCTCTTCCTGGAGGTTGCTGTCTGATCAAACCACTGGTTAAGGTGTGAAGTCCTCCCTAAATCTATAACACTGTACGTTCTCAGACACAGACTGTTAAATTAAAGCAGATGTTTAAGAGGATATACCACAGAATATACTGTCCGTTGTATTGTGTGCCGCTCCTTAAAGTACCAAAGTATATTTTAAGGGGGCAATTAGAATTAGCCTTTATATGGAGCAGTCTGAGGAGATTTATGCTAATGTTGACAGGAAGAGCTGTGGACAGGATACAGTGAACAGAAGCATAGATAAACAACCTGAATCTCAGAATACTGGTAAGTACACTGTTGTCATAGAGACACACACATCGAAGAGTAAACCAATAGTTATTATTCTTCCAACTGCCACACAAACAATTTAGCTTATGTTAATGTGATGATATTGGCTTATGCCCAATGCCCCAAGGCTTCAAAAGCCAACTGAGTAAAATAAACTGTAACGAACTACATCTCCTAAATGAAAATACTACATCTCCTAAATGAAAGGTCGTTCCTTTAAGATTAGAGGTTAAATGTTCTGAAATGTTCGAGGCTCTGTAGGATGTATACTAACTGCAGAAACATTCATTTTCATGTTCATAAAGTCCTATGTAACTCGCCACTGTGTATTTCCAACCTGGTCTCAAAGCATTTCGTTTTATTCTGTACGTAAAGCAAGACACTCCATTTAGTATGATATGTTACCTTTCATATGTTACCTTTTATATGTCAATGTGTGGATGCCCATCATCCATTTGGTTAGATATGTTACGAATTACAATTTGTATGATATGTTACGAATTTGCTAAACTTACAATATGTTATGAATTTGCTAAACGTGTGATATGTTATGAATTCTACTAACATTAGCTATCTGGCTAACATTAGCAAGGCTAGGGGTTAACTGTAACTGGCCACTATATTTCCTGTTGCAGTGAGAAGCTGTATCTTTAACAACCACAAGTCCCCCTCAACAAAAAGAGAGATGGGGGTGAGAAACCACCACTTTAAATGTGCAGCTATTTTTCCACCTTTTAGAGATCATGCAAAATAGATTCTTCATACTTTGAAATCATATGGGGCGAATCCTATCTTCCACTTAAGTCAAATTTAGACTTAGTCATTCATTTATATCAATGGGAGACTAAGTGAATTTTGAATTAAAGGGATACTTCAGGATTTTGGCAATGATGCCCTTTATCTACTTCCCCACAGTCAGATGAGCTTGTGGATACCATTTGTATGACTCTGTATCCAGTATGAAGGAAGTTAGAGGTGGTTTTGTGAGCCATTGCTAACTAGAGTTGACTGGAGGTTTATGGCATGGAGGTCATTGCGCTAATTCTAGTTTCAATCAGGTTTGACATAACAGACTGTAAAAACACCAGCTCCTATTGATTTACATTTTGGAAATCTGTTCCCAAGTATTCCCAAGTATAATAGAGAGACACACACTAACGTAAACAAGGTTTGAAATTATTACATTTTAGTCCAATTTTATATCTATTTGGACTTGAGGTCAATTTGCAGCCTGGTAATTATTTGCAATTATGTTCTGGCCCCATGACCATTCGCTCAAGACAAAAATCTGCCCGCGGCTGAATCTAGTTGATGATCCCTGCGCTATATGGTCCATGTTCGATTGTGTCTCATTGATGATGCTATGTACAGTACCTGTGTCCACAGAGCCTGATAGCTCAGGGAAGAGATCCTCCAGAGTTGCTGCAGTGTGTCTGGGGCTGCTGTGTGTTCTACTGGCTGGGATCATAGGCCTGTATGTCCACTGTAAGTCTGAAGTTATAATTCCTACAATTCACCAGCAGTTCTGTGATTATCTCGTTTAATGATAAACTTTGTTGTTGTTGTGACAGATGATGGGGTCTCTAAGAGCTTCTTAGCATATAAGACCAACTCATCTGCAGAGAGAGACCAGCTACTGACCAGTTACAACACCCTGACTGAAGAGAGAGACCAGCTACTGACCAGCTACAACAACCTGACTAATGAGAGAGACCAGCTACAGACAAGTTACAACAACCTGACTCAAGAGAGAGACCAGCTACAGGCTGAGAGAGAGATTCTTAACAGGAGGCTTACCAATCTCAGTGAGTACACCTACAGTAATACATTATTATTAATCCCACACACTTTATAGTGTGTCTGTATTCTTTCATTAAGTGTTTAGTGTGATAAGTTGAAGGAAATTCATTTTTTCATCTTGTAGAACAAACCTGTCCTGAAGGCTGGCAGAAGTTTGAATCCAGTTGGTACTTCCTGTCTACCGAGACTAACACCTGGAAGGAGAGCAGAGAGGACTGTCTGGAGAGAGGAGCAGACCTGGTGATCATAAACAGTAATAAGGAACAGGTGAGAGAGAGAGAGAGAGAGAGAGAGAGAGAGAGAGAGAGAGAGAGAGAGAGAGAGAGGAGAGAGAGAGAGAGAGAGAGAGAGAGAGAGTCAAAAGTTTGGACACATCTACTCATTCCAGGGTTTTTCTTTATTTTTTACAATTTTCTACATTGTAATATAATAGTGAAGACATCAAAACTATGAAATAACACAATCATGTGGTAACCAAAAAAGTGTTAAACAAATCAAAATATATTTTATATTTGAGATTCTTCAAATAGCCACCAATTGCCTTGATGACAGCTTTGCACACTCTTGGCATCCTCTCAGTCAGCTTCACCTGGAATGCTTTTCTAACAGTCTTGAAGGAATTCCCACATATGCTGAGAACTTGTTGGCTGCTTTTCCTTCACTCTGCGGTCCAACTCATCCCAAACCATCTCAATTGGGTTGAGGTCTGGGGATTTTGGAGGCCAGGTCATCTTATGCAGCATTCCATCACTCTCCTTCTTGGTAAAATCGCCCTTACACAGCCTGGAGGTGTGTTGGGTCATTGTCCTGTTGATAAACAAATGATAGTCCCACTAAGCCCAAACCAGATGGGATGGCGTATCGCTGCAGAATGCTGTGGTAGCCATGCTGGTTAAGTGTGCCTTGAATTCTAAATAAATCACAGACAGTGTCACCAGCAAAGCAGCCCCCACACCATAACACCTCCTCCTCCATGCTTTACGGTGGGAACAACACATGCTGAGATCATCCGTTCAACCACACAATGTCTCTCAAAGACACGGCGGTTGGAACCAAACATTTCCATATTGGACTCCAGACCAAAGGACAAATTTCCACCGGTCTAATGTCCATTGCTCGTGTTTCTTGGCCCAAGCAAGTCTCTTCTTCTTATTGGTGTCCTTTAGTAGTGGTTTCTTTGCAGCAATTCAACCATGAAGGCCTGATTCACAGTCCCCTCTGAACAGCTGATGTTGAGATGTGTCTGTGAGTTGAATCTGTGAAGCATTTATTTGGGCTGCAATTTCTGTGGCTGGTAACTCTAATGAACTTATACTCTGCAGAAGAGGTAAATCTGGGTCTTCCTTTCCTGTGGCGGTCCTCATGAGAGACAGTTTCATAGTGCTTGATGGTTTTTGCAATTGCACTTGAAGAAACTTTCAATGTTCTTGAAATGTTCCGTATTGACTTACCTTCATGTCTTAAAGTAATGATGGACTGTAGTTTCTCTTTGCTTATTTGAGCTGTTCTTGCCATAATATTGGCTTGGTCTTTAACCAAATAGGGCTATCTTCTGTATACCCACCCACATTGTCACAACACAACTGACTACCTCAAAAGCCTTAAGAAGGAAAGAAAATCCACAAATTAACTTTTAACAAGGCACAACCATTAATTGAATGATTAATTGTCGACCCAAATTAATAAACAAACAACACAGCATCAGCTTAGTTAATTTATTCAAATATGACTTGTGTTAGGGTTGACAAATCACTTACATTTCTAGGACAAAAACACAGAACAGAATGATCAAAGATGAAGAGGACGTTGCACCAAACTGTCTGGTCTACAAGCCTTCATCACAAATGGTACCCTATTTCCCTTTGTAGTGCACTATATGGAGAATAGGGTGCCATTTTGGATGCAACCCAAGTCACCTTCTTATTGGTGGATGGAGCCTTGAAGCATCCTGCCACCATCTGTGGGCCACAGACAGAGAACAGAGAGGGACCGGGTGGAGCCACATCAGATCAACTATTTATTCATATCGCCAAGATTTGCATTATTCATTCTTTAATAAATGGTTAAACATATTTCTACATGGTGTTTTCTTTCTGGACTACATTTTGTAATAGCTTTCCACTGGGCAAAAACTGGTTGAATCAACATTGTTTCCATGTGATTTCAAACCCAAAAAATCACTGTGATGATGTTGAATCAACTTTTGGATTTGCTAAAAGTAATCAACGTAAGGGTATTTCATATTTTTTCACCCAACTCAACCAAATGTAAATCAAAACCAGGCGTTGAATTGACGTCTGTTAACAGGCCAAGAGTGTGCAAAGCTGTCATCAAGGCAAAGGGTGGCTATTTGAAGAATCTCAAATATTAAATATATTTTGATTTGTTTAACACTTCTTTGGTTACTGCATGATTCCATATGTGTTATTTCATAGTTTTGATGTCTTCACGACTATTCTGTAATGTAAAAAATAGTAAAAATAAAGAAAAAGCCTTGAATGAGAAGGTGTTCTAAAACTTTTGGCTGGTAGTATATATATATTTATCTTTCTTAACAACAGACATTTCTGTACAACCTCAAGAAGAGAGTCTGGATTGGTCTGACTGACTCTGTTAATGAGGGGACCTGGAAATGGGTGGACGGCACATCACTGTCCAAAGGGTGAGAGATGATAACTAATCTGTGAATAAAGCTCCATTCAACATTTTTCTATACAGGTTACTGTCATTGATGATAGCAGTCAACAAAGTTAACTTTAAGATGAAAAATGCCTGTATATTATTTAGGATGGTGATGTTCTATCCATGATATCTAACTGTTTTTAACCCTGTAGGTACTGGTATTAACCATGATATCTGACTGTTTTTAACCATGTAGGTAATGGTATTAACCATGATATCTGACTGTTTTTAACCCTGTAGGTACTGGTATTAACCATGATATCTGACTGTTTTTAACCCTGTAGGTACTGGTATTAACCATGATATCTGACTGTTTTTAACCCTGTAGGTACTGGTATTAACCATGATATCTGACTGTTTTTAACCCTGTAGGTGCTGGTATTAACCATGATATCTGACTGTTTTTAACCCTGTAGGTACTGGTATTAACCATGATATCTGACTGTTTTTAACCCTGTAGGTACTGGTATTAACCATGATATCTGACTGTTTTTAACCCTGTAGGTACTGGTATTAACCATGATATCTGACTGTTTTTAACCCTGTAGGTACTGGTATTAACCATGATATCTGACTGTTTTTAACCCTGTAGGTACTGGTATTAACCATGATATCTGACTGTTTTTAACCCTGTAGGTGCTGGTATTAACCATGATATCTGACTGTTTTTAACCATGTAGGTGCTGGTATTAACCATGATATCTGACTGTTTTTAACCCTGTAGGTACTGGTATTAACCATGATATCTGACTGTTGTTAACCCTGTAGGTACTGGTATTAACCATGATATCTGACTGTTTTTAACTCTGTAGGTACTGGTATTAACCATGATATCTGACTGCTTTTAACTCTGTAGGTACTGGTATTAACCATGACATTTGACGGTTTTTAACCAGGTAGGTACTGGTATTAACCATGATATCTGACTGTTGTTAACCCTGTAGGTACTGGTATTAACCATGATATCTGACTGTTTTTAACCCTGTAGGTACTGGTATTAACCATGATATCTGATGGTTTTTAACCCTTTAGGTGCTGGTATTAACCATGATATCTGATGGTTTTTAACCCTGTAGGTGCTGGTATTAACCATGATATCTGACTGTTTTTAACCCTGTAGGTGCTGGTATTAACCATGATATCTGACTGTTTTTAACCATGTAGGTGCTGGTATTAACCATGATATCTGACTGTTTTTAACCCTGTAGGTGCTGGTATTAACCATGATATCTGACTGCTTTTAACCCTGTAGGTGCTGGTATTAACCATGATATCTGACGGTTTTTAACCTTGTAGGTCCTGGTATTAACCATGATATCTGACGGTGTTTAACCCTGTAGGTACTGGTATTAACCATGATATCTGACTGTTTTTAACCCTGTAGGTACTGGTATTAACCATGATATCTGATGGTTTTTAACCCTGTAGGTACTGGTATCACCCACAGCCTGATAACGCAGGTCCTACTGGAGATGAAAATGATGAGGAGGACTGTGCTGAGATACACAAGGATCAGCATCCTCTGAAGGCATGGAATGACTTGTCATGTGACAGCAAACTCAACTGGATTTGTGAGAAAGTGGTTTAACATCACCATGACAACATAATGTAACACATACAGTAGCCACAGTGGACACATCTCTCTCACTCTCGCTCTCTCTCTCTCTCACACACACACTCTCTCACTGTCTGAAACCCACACACACACACCCTCACACGCACACACACACACACACACACACCCTCACACACGCACACATGTACAGTTGAAGTCAGAAGTTTACATACACCTTAGCCAAATACATTTAAACTCAGTTTTTCACAATTCCTGACATTCAATTCTAGTAAAAATGCCCTGTCTTAGGTTGTTAGGATCACCACTTTATTTTAAGAATGTAAAATGTCAGAATAATGGTAGAGAGAATGATTTATTTCAGCTTTTATTTATTTCATCACATTCCCAGTGGGTCAGAAGTTTACATACACTCAATTAGTATTTGGTAGCATTGCCTTTAAAGGGTTTAACTTGGGTCAAACGTTTAGGGTAGCCTTCCACAAGCTTCCCACAATAAGTTGGGTGAATTTTGGGCCATTTCTCCTGACAGAGCTGGTGTAACTGAGTCAGGTTTGTAGGCCTCCTTGCTCGTACACGCTTTTTCAGTTCTGCCCACACATTTTCTATAGGATTGAGGTCAGGGCTTAGTGATGGGCACACCAATACCTTGACATTGTTGTCCTTAAGCCATTTTGCCACAACTTTGGAAGTATGCTTGGGGTCCATTTGGAAGACGCATTTGCGACCAAGCTTTAACTTCCTGACTGATGTCTTGAGATGTTGCTTCAATATATCCACATAATTTTCCTTCCTCATGATGCCATCTATTTTGTGAAGTGCACCAGTCCCTCCTGCAGCAAAGCACCCCCACAGCATGATGCTGCCACCCCCGTGCTTCACGGTTGGGATGGTGTTCTTCGGCTTGCACCCCCTCCCCCTTTTTCCTCCAAACAGAACAATGGTCATTATGGCCAAACAGTTCTATTTTTGTTTAATCAGACCAGAGGACATTTCTCCAAAAAGTACGATC